TGTTCGAATCGTCATAAAATAGGCTGTATTCTGTCAGTTTGCAGGAAATACAACAAAATTCCAGATTTATCTGACAGAGAACGGTGTAGAAAACTCTCTGGTTAGGTCAGAGATTTTTTGTTAAAAACAAAAATTTAATTACATAGTTGCTTACTTAAAATACGTTATCAAGATAATCCAAATGATCGGAGAGTAAATATTTAGTAACATCTCGAATGAACTGGTGTGAAAAAAAAATCCTGACACAATTTAATACTCGCTTTCTTAATAAAAAATCATAAAAATACAAAAATTTATTTTCCCAGTGGCACAGCTGTATGTCTGCGCTAGAAATAAGGTTTCGAAACCCGTGGTGGGCAGAGTACAGATAGCCCATTGTGTAGCTTTGTGCTTAACGTCAAATAAACAACCAAAATTATCAATAGCCCATTCTAGACCAAAAATGTTTAGGATTTAGAAAGTTTAAGAATGAATAGAGGGCTTTATTTGCTAATGTAGACAGTAAAAGTGATTATATTGTTTTGAGTTATTCAGTCTGGGCCAATAAAGTCAGTGAATAAAAAATGTATTTTAGAAAAGTATTAATACCGTCTGAAACCCGGTAGTAAAATACCCATCTTCTAAATGTTTTTATATTGTAGCAATATACTTAGTGGCCACAAGCAACGAATAGTTTTCGAACCTCTCCTCCACATTCAAACTTATTTGATCTGTACGTCCGCTCCATATCATTGACTCAGTTACATCTAAATTGTTTTCGTGTGTTGACATAATAAATTGTTCTGAACGTATACCGAATACTGCAACATGTGTTTTACTGTAACTAAATTCATCCGGTTTGTTTTGATGAAACGTTATTGGCGTTACGAATACTTGTAAAATATGTATAAAGAGATTTAAATGAGGATACATATAATGTACTTTTAAGTATCAATAAGTAATGTACGCTTGAAATCTAGTATTATAAGAATTATATTATTATAGCAATTTAAAAAAGAAAGCAAATCACTCATCCCCAGATCTTTGGAGATTACATTAATAAACCAAACTACCAGCTGATGATTCAAAAAAGTATAACAAATAAAGAAGTAATACAAAAAGTTTTCTGTAGTACAAAATGGGTGCTGTATAAGAATTACGTTAAACTGAAAATCTCCACCATGTTAAGTAAAGTTGACCGTGTATACTATAAAATTAGATCACTGTTGGGCGTAGTTCTGCGTCAGAACTTTTGTAGTATGTTATATCTAATAAAAAACGTAACTATTACGCTGCTCTAGACAATTAAAGTATGATCAGGTGCATAATATTTTACTTATGACAAATCAAAAACTTCTGTTATAAAACACTGATCGCGCTCCTTTCATTTTTTTTTAATGTATACTAGGCATCCAAC